GGAGACTGTGTTCGTCAGACCTCTAACCATTGACCAACCTGGTATGAGAGACTCTGTGAGTGTCGCGGGACACTCTCCAGTATAGCTCAATGGATCGCCGAGGTGCGCAAACCGTCACACCACGGTAAGGTCCAGTCTCTTCATTTCTGTAACCGTCATTACCAGACATCTCGACGACAGAGTCAGTCCATCTAAAATAGACTGTAATGGAGCTGAGATCTTGTAGAGAGACTATTTTCAACTCCGGAATCTGGTTAGTCGTGTGACTCCTTAGTCTTCAAAAGTAATTCCTTTTCTGTCATGTACAGGAACAATTTTCAAGTGGGCCGTGACTTCACCCTTATCCTAGCTGTACAGGAGAATGGTTGAGCGGAGGAATATGAACGTCTCCTAGCGCCACTTGGTTTATTGCGAACGGTCCGTTAAAGTTCAAAGCTGACGGAGAAAAGGTCACAGTCCTTGAGACTTCCATCTCAAGTCATCATTATACTATTCAGCTACAAATATCGCGTAGATACAATGGCTATAACTTGTCTCAAGACAAAAGGAAGAAACACACTGGGAGGTTTCCTTGAGGACCTTTTCTAGACTGCTGATCCACAGCGGGGATATCCATGTTGGTTGCTGTTTGCTGAGAAAAATTGTCGTCCAGATCACAGCCACTGGTTAGACTGGTTAGACAGTTTACTCCTGGAAGCCTTTCTACCAAGTTTCACTTTTATTGTCTTACTTGGTAGCTCATACCTCCTCACATTTTCCACTTTACGTTCTGTTCGTTAATGGCTGTCGGACTAAACACCAGCGCGAGTCATGTACCCAAGACTCGATACTGATAGCACTCGAAGATGCAAAACCTATTGCTATATCTGACTGCTGTTCCCGCTGCACACAACAGCTTTGTTGCGAATGCGAGTGCGAAACTAACGGCCTCAAGCTTTATTATTTGTCTGACCTTGCTCCAACGCTGACTCACGCTGTCTAGCTTTGATACAAAGCTGTCACACGCTGCATGTTGAGGGGGAGTCTTCTGTCTGGTTAGCATCTAGTGGAGATCTCAGTAGAGTTCGGGAATTCAGTAGTTATCTTCAGGAATCTGACCTTCCTGGTGCCTAGACGGTTATATCAGGGAGGTGGTTACTCTATGTAGCGACGAATCACATGACACGAGTGTCGCCGCGCGGCCATACCAAATAGGGGTCCTATGGATCTAAAGAAGGAGGGACCCCTTCTTAGCTCCTCCACAGTGCAGCCGCTTTTCGTGTTTCATAGGATTGGTCGCTCTTGGACAGGAGCTTGATACAGATTTGATACAAGATTTGGTATCCTCGATTTCAGGACAGTTTTTTTCATTCTTTGTTTCCTCCAGTATCAAGTTAAAAAACCTACTTTGGCTGCACTTGGAGCCTCGGGATGTCTGTAGTCCTTTGTCTTGCTTAGCAGTGCTGTACCTTTTAGGGTGGCCAGATGGCTTAAAGCCCTCTCTACGTTCTTCCCGCTACTTGTTCACGAATTCCCATCCCTTCAGAGGAAATCTATTACGAATCCAAGTGATGAGCGTTTGATTGCCCCTTTTATAAACTGCCGACCAATCGTGGTGTTTTACTTAACTCAAGCTTTCGGTGCAGTTCTCGATTAAACGTACACACATCCCGTTTCTTGAAGTCTTCGTCCCTTGTTTTTGTCGACCAGGACAACGTTAACTTTGTTGAGCAAATGTGGAATCCCCTTCACCTATTTGAATGTGGAGACCCCGTTCAATCAGCGACCACGGCCAAACGAACCCTACTGGTCCAGACCTAAAGGAATCTCACAACGAAACCTCGGTCTTCGTTGGATTAGGGAAACACTTCTGCTTCGCCGGGAACCTTCCGTTTTGTATATTGCAGACGATGATAATACCTACAGTTTGGAGGTGTTTGAAGAGGTAACAGGTTGTACTTTTTATTTATAGAGTAAAATCCAAATACACCATTTCGGAAACTTATTTCGTTCTGCATGTGTTTCCAGATGCGATACACCCGCCGTGTGTCAACCTGGCCTGTGGGACTCTCCGGTGAGCTTCCATGGGAAGGTTGCGTCACATCTGCAACAGATCGGTCACGAATCAGCCAAATGTGGGCCGCTTACAAACCTAATCGCCCTTTCCCGATCGACATGGCTGGATTTGCCGTAAATATGGATCTAATTTTGAATCATCCAGAGGCAAAATTTGACTATAATCGACCGAGAGGTTTTCAGGAATCAGAATTTCTGACCGGTCTCGGCCTGAAACACTGGAGTGAACTGGAACCTAAAGCTGATGGTTGCCAAAAGGTGAGCTGAAAACTATGCGTGAGTCGACAAGCGAGGCTGCTTGGTCCGTCGCGGGCATATGAGCCTGACTTGTTGAGAAAACAAGTGAAAACGACGGGCTTTTTTTATTCGCCATTGACACCAAGTCTTCAGATAGGGGATTAAGGGGTTCGTAAAAGTTGTGAAACCTTACTACCATTTAAAATGTATAACTAGGAGTGGAATGCGTACTCATGAATAGACAATATACTCCGAAGCGGATCATTTAGATGGCATCCCCAAAAGTCGGGCGAAATCTTGAATCGAGCCAAATGCGGGTTTACAGATCCTTTGTAGGTAGATATTCTGGTTCACAAAATTACGGCGGCATTCAATAGTGGGAAGAGTTTCGTGGCTTTTCCAGTGTATCCCATTTAGGAAACAATCTTCTCACGAGAGATCAGCTTACACTGCTTTCAATCTTTACTCCTGCGTCCAGTTGGCGAGATGGCCCAAGTGGTTAGAGCGCAATTTACTGACCGGAAGGTCCGTGGTTCGAATCCGACCTCCGCCACTCGACTTTCCCTGTCTAGGCTTGGGCGACCTGGCAATATCCCAGCCCTCGTGCTCCCTTCGGGTGGCATGGCAGCTAGGCACCGGAAGGGTGCTACAGCTGAACGCTTTCTTTCTCTTTCCAGTTTGCGCAGAACGTTGTGCCGAACAGTGCGACGCTACAGGTGTTACTCGACAAAGAACACTGGGTGGGAAGGGTGCACAGCTGAACGCTTTCTTTCTCTTTCCAGTTTGCGCAGAACGTTGTGCCGAACAGTGCGACGCTACAGGTGTTACTCGACAAAGAACACTGGGTGAAGGGACACTGTTGTCTGTCTGCTCAGTCGAATCAATGCGATAGCCATCTGATCTGAGTTTCATTCGTAACTCCACACCATAGAGGGAAGATTCAACTGGGTTTCAGGTCAGTCTCCCATGGAAATCAAATTAGGATGCAGCTGACATATATCAGTCGTTAAAAATCCGGTTAACTTGCAATCGACCTCCACTTAACCTCATTCGATTGTCATTGCTGTGCTCCTCTTCTTGGCCATAGGTGAATTTCCTTCTTGATTGATCGTTTAAAGGTTGCATCCCGTTGGTTAGCTCGTTAGCCCATCCAGTTTGTGGGAACACAGTACGAACAAGGTACAAACTCAGCGAACCAACATGTATGAAGCGGCTCAATCTACGCACCACCACAAAAAAAAGGATCACCGGCTTAATTGGGCAACTCAAGAGGAACCGACCGTTAACAGAAATCTCAAAGTAGACTGTCGTACTAGAAATGCCTTTGACCCAACCGTGGTGACAACTGTCACAATTTTATTGGCACTTGGACCTCACATTTGACAGGTGTGAAATTGGGTTTGTTACGTAATAATTCATCGCCAATTGACAGCTGCACATATTTTCCAGGATGCTCATCAAATTAAGGAAATAAATAAAAATTCTTGTTCCTCTGATTAAGTGAGTGAGAGCTATCTGTACTTCTCACCTCGTCCACTGCAGACTGTATATGAAAAGCATGCATTGATTCCACAGGTTGCCCTTGTTTTTTTGTTGAATCGACATAGTGCGGGTAGTGTATCTGTGTATTGACAGGACGAAGCGTTGATCCAGCATTAACGTCACAGGTCGGTTAGGAGGGCATCTTCCTATTGGGAAGCGAACCCAAATGCGGCAGTGCGACGGCGTTCTTTTCAAATTTTTAATTTAGGCCAATCATTGGGCGTTTTAATTTAGGTATGTTGTTCAGCCAAATGGTAACTTGACTCCAAACCAGGTTGTTTAATTTGGCGCATGATAGCCCCGCGAATACTTCGAACACCAATTGTGACCACCAGCTGGCACCCATCTGGAGCTCAAAGGTGAAGTAGAACCCTTAACGGTGAACGTGGAGCCGCCTACGGCCTCATAGGTTTATGACTATGTGTTCTCTTGAGCCCTACCGAGCCCCTGGTTCGTATGACCGCCACCCGCATTGTTCAAAGATAGGGATGAAGTTTTCATTCAGTGCTTGTCGGATATGTTTGCTTGTATTTGGCCCACTTGGTTAGAGCGCGAATTTACTGACCGGAAGGTCCGTGGTTCGAACCCGACTTTTGTCTCTCGACTTTCCCTGCCTGGGCTTGGGCGACCTGACAGTATCCCAGCCCTCGTTATTCCTTCGGGCAGCATGGCAGCTAGGCACCGGAAGGGTGCTACAGCTGAACGATTTTTTTATGTTGCGTTTGTTATGAAATTCCCACAGTTTCTGAGTTTTCATGCAAATCGTTTTGTATTCCGGTAGATTCTTGTGTGGCATACACGTACGGCGGATCCATCGTTGGCTGCTTGGAGGCGTTTACAATCGCAGGGCGTTGTGGCCCCGCCTATTCGCGATCCGGTGTAGTTATTCAACCTCAGAACAGCTGCCATCCCGGCTATCCGACTGCATTTCGCTAATTTGTTTTGATGACTTTGATTCACTTTTTCCGCACCTGGTCAATGCAACCATTTCAGTCTCATCACTATTTATCACATTTTTGAACTGTTATCTTTTTGTCATAAACGCAACACTGAAGCGAAATATACCTTTCCTCAAACTGTCGTGGTCAGATTTTTTTATTGACTGGCCCAGTAACTTCGATATTTCTGCACTGACTTGCACTAGTATTGGTCGATCCCAACTAGAAATAACAGGCTTTGAGGCGAGGCTTTCTTGTACTCCGAAAGCTGTAGTTCGACTCCTGCAATGTCGGTTGTTTGTTCTTGTTTGGGCTATGGTGATCTCATTCCTCGAGCTTTCTTTGATTTGATTGGTGATCAGCTGCCAAAACATGTCACAGATGGGTGATTTTTGATGCCGACCTTTATTGGTAAGGTTCGGTAGGTAGGATCTTCTCACCTCAGATTTGAGGAGGGATTGCACAAGCGGAGCGTGTATGAGAAAACGGGACAGCTTCACCGTATCGATGAACGATTCAGATTCTTCATCAGTTTCAAACCATTTATTTGCGCCTACTTTTTGGCCTTCAATTTTTAAGGTGAACGTCCCACACTTTTAGGTTTATTTATTCCAGAAATGGTATTAATATGCCTATGTTTACGTTGAGATGTTCCTCGATTGTTCGAAGAATGTTCACAGATAACTCCATAGAAACACTGAAATCTCCCGATATATGACGCTTCGGTGTGAAGTCAAGATGCTTTGAACTATGCACAACTCTTCGACTTTCGTACTCTTTGGGGCGTCTTAACGTGAATTCGGGTCATCTTCAGGTTTCTCTCAGGATACACTAGGATCTCCGTTGCGTCATTGTTAAAGTCGCATTGAGACGTATAAAAATGTTAGGGCATCCAAACGCGAAAAAGGGTGGTTCCCAACTCTGTACAATTCTCCATTGTAGGTGTTGTTGGAGCCCTCACGAACACTAGTGAAGCAATCTATTGAAATCTTATAAACTACTGTTGACTATGTTCCGTATCTAAGTCGTGTCATCCTTTTTGCCTCATCACATTAGTTGTGTATGCAGTTAGATAACTATGGAAAGAGAAAATGACAGTCTGAGTTGGGAATACTGCTCATTGGTTAAGGCGCGAATTTACGGGTCGGTGGGTTTGTGGTTCGAACCCAACCTCTGTATCTCGACGTCTCCTGTCTAGGCTTGGAAAGCCTGGTAGCATCTCGGCTCTCGCGCTTCTTCGGGGCAGCATGCAAGCTAAGCGCCGAGGTTGTGTTACGGCTGAACGGTTTGTTTTTTAATTTTAACTATTACGGAGCCTGTGTTTGGGCCCCAACGCGCATATTTTTGCGCCATTCTGAAGCGCTTCTCCCAGATACGGGCTACCTTCTCCGAATAGAAGCGCTCCAGTCCATACGTCTCAACTTATCCAGGAATGAACTTTCTCATTGATCCAATCTCGCAGATGTTGCCTTTCGCTCAATATTGTTGGGGTCACGTTGACGATGTTTTCGTGTTCTTGTTGGTGCGGTTCCGTACGTTTTTTATCTGTTCTTACGCTAAACGTTCTTCCTGCTTGTACTTACCACGGTCCGCAATTTCAAGTTACACCATTTGGCTACTTTCTAACTACGTACCTTGATATATTACCTGCATGTTGATTTCTTGTGATAATTGGATCCGTTTGGTTGTATAAGTCTTGTTCATTCACGCTAGTTGGGTATTTGGCTGGTTTTAGGTTAAATTGTAACGGTGAAGAGACCCGGGCAATATGCACCACTCTGAACCAAGCGTAAAGACTTGCAAGATGCGTCACATTTCTGGATATCTGCGGTTTGTAGATGTACCATGTGGGTTATTCGGTTGTTCGCGTTGCCAGTTCTCATTCTATTTGAAAGTACCGTGTCTTTGGAAGTGTCCATTTGGGTTATCAGCGGACAGCATCACCAAGCGGAATGTTTTGAGCTATGTTACACAAAAAGTCAGTTTAAGCATGTGCACAGCTGTAAAAACTTGAGAACATCGTAATTAAGTCACTTCCTCCCAAAAAAAACAATCCATGACCTGTCTTATAGTACTCGGTACTACCGAAGGTGAAGGTTGAACGAACGTCTAAATTAATCTATGTAGTAGGTCTTTCGAAGCCCCCCCGGTACATGAATTTAGATGCGGAATTTGCAGGAGCTAGGGGGCTTGGTTTCCTTGGAAGTTGACCGATTTTCTCCGGAAGCTGTGCAAACGATGTGGCGTAATTCGGACGTTTTGGAACGCAACGGGTCGGACGGATCACTTGTTGACTTGTACTACTCGCTAAAATTTTCGACAACTGAATTCATATCACCAGGTTAGTGGGGAGACATTATGAAGTGTTAGCATTTCACATCAATTTCACCAGTTGCGTTCGACGCTCAAGTAAATGCAAGTGCATCAAAGATCGGACGTCGAAAGTCGGGATAAACCAAATCCAAATGACGATTGTGAGTGCGGAGCACTTGTTACGTTCTCCTTGAATACTACAAGTGGAGACGTATAGCTACACGGCCAGGCAAGCATACGCACTACTTTACCGACGTTTTCGTTCAGTTGATGTCCTGCATAGGTGCTTAAATTGCCTACCAATTATTACGGTCTGAAATCGTATGCTGCTTTCGCTGATGCACTGTTCTTTAGAGTTTTCGGCCCACATGCACCATCGGCATATTCATACTAGTATGTAATAAGTTTGGACGGGGTCAGTTATTTGGTGAAGTACCCCTTAGGGTGGGTCGATTTTCCGTTAATCCCCTCCGATATTACCGCGCTTTTGCATTCTAAGTTTTAATTTTAATGCTTTGGCTTTCCAGCATCGTCCAGATGGATAGGAGCCTAGTTGGGAACATTAGTTTCCTTAAACGTGGAATTTTAAATTACGACTTCTCAGTAACTCGTGGGGTTGCGAACATGAGAATACTTCAAAACATCGAATTGCCCAGACCCAAGGTCACGTACTTAGTTTTCCTTGGTTATTTTTGTTCCCGATCTGCTACAAAATAGTATTCGTGAAATCCGGGCTGGCGAGGTCGTCTTTTGTAATCCTCGCATGATTCGGCTGGTCCCAACCAAGTCCTCACTCCTTCTAGCTTGGCACTTCCGTATACAAAAATGCATATTATTCTTAGAACATATTGGGACCCCGACCTAAAGCTGCCACCTTGACAGGCAGTCTGGGGGTAAGTCGTACTGTCCTCTGCGACAGGAGTGTGAAGGCAGTAAGGTGTTTCCCCCAGGTGACCAGCATGTCCATATTTATGGAAG